GCAGGATGTTAGCTTGAAAATCAGTTGTGAATATTAAACCTGTTTGTACCATTACACAGAAAGCCAGACTTTACCCAGTAATGGATTAATTGGCTGAAATCCTGGAAAGTCAATGCAGTTGGGATTCCTTTTTTCTGCTTCTTTTGTCTTGCTGATGAAACCTGCAGCTGGTCAATGGATTCAGGGTTTTCTAAGCTCTGCAGAGCATTATGTTCTGAATGTTTTTCAGGTGTTTTATGGTACCTGATTTTGAGTGTCTCTTGATTCTGAAGTTCTGTTTTTTAACAAAGGAAAGAGAACTGAAATCAGATCTGCAGAATAAATTTTTAGCTACTGACTTTTTAGCTGATTGACCTTAGAAATGAAATACATATTCCCCTGCATGTTGAGTACTGTGACAGCATGTAATAACATAGATGAGAGGTAAGGTTCAGCTATGAAATAAAGCAGCATAGTGAGGCAAAGACTAATACTGAATCACAGACTCTTGGAGCACAGGCAAATGGCTGTCCATAGTGGGGAATTAAATCGCTTTCTGTAAATAACTGCTTTCTGTTGATAAGTTGTCATTCAGCAGAATGTTGGACTGCATGAACTTGGCTGCACAGTGCTGTGAGTTGTCCCTGGATAGAATTTGAATTAGTTGTAGTAGAACAGCTCCTTATTTCCTGCATTTTATGCCATGTTAATTCATCCCTGCGTTAAGGTGTGTTTAAAGGGGACTTTGTTAGCATAAATTTAGTAGAAGTTGTGCTTTGCCTCTGTTGTTAGCTAACTCATACATAAGGCAGTGAAATTTTGTATACTCTGCATTTTTAAACAGGCATAATTTCACTATTCCTGTCCAGTTTAGCTGTCCAAAAACTTCCTCCAAACAGATAGTACCTGGTTATAGGTGTATTTTATTGCCACCTGTTTCAGTTGCTTGCCTTTCAAAGAGGGATTTGCCTTCCTTCCCTTGCAGTGGCAGGGTGGCCTTTGAAAGGGCTTATTTTATTAGGAACACACTAGGTGGTTCAATGAGGTGTGATTTCTGGTGACCTGCTTTGTTCAGGGTTACCAGTATGCGTTCTGCTGGAACCAGTCTTCTGTGTTGCTGGCAGATGGTTTTGAGTGAAGCCCAGGGAGCAGAAAAGCAGGTTTTGAGCAAATGCCATCGCAGCGTTGCCTGAGTAGGAGTTGAGGTAAAAGGAGATTTGTTTCCATAGGCCCTTTGCAACCAGCTGTCAGTATGGGCTTCTTTACTGTCTGTCATTGCATTCAGGGATCTCCTGTGACAAAATTTATCTTTCCCTGAGCTGACACATAATACCTCTGTGGGCTAGTTGCTCCCTGCACAGTTGATATGTTCTTCGTCCTCCTCAGCTGGCAGTTTCTTAAGTGGATATAATCCATTCAGCAGATTTCCTGGAACTTCTCTTAACATAGCTGTGCAACTCTTACTCCTTTAAAACTGCAGGTTCCTCCTTGACCTCCTCTGCTTGGGCAAACAGGCTGTAGCAAAAGCAAGAGTAGTTTGAAAGACCTTTCTTGTCCCTTTATCTTTTTCATCTTTTATTTTTCTTTTCAGCATGCCTGCCTTAACCAAGAGATGTAGGAAGTTAATTTCTGCATGTATACTTGAGTAGAACTACATCTATCAGGTTGTTCTTTGTCTTTAGGTTTTTGACATAAAGGGTGCCCCCCAAAGAAGCCCTTTGTTTTTTGAAGGAAAGAAAGGGAAGTGGGATTTCCCCTCAATTGTTCCTGAGTTCATAATAATGTGACACAATAAAATGTGAAATACTGTATTTTCTTAGTTTTCCTGTGAGGTTCTAAAGGTATTGGCCTCTTAGAATTCCCAATTTGGTACATGAAAGATGACACCATAACTACCAGTGTGGCAGCCTGTATTGCCAGATTTTATCCAAACTTGCTGTCATGCCATTCTGAAGGACGGTTGTTTGGGATTCAGCTCTGTCTTAAGAAGAACACCTAAAAAGCAAACAGTGCTATGCACAGCAATTTGATGTTGTACTAATTCCTGTGGGCCTGGTTCTCTCTCATTTTGTTCCTGTAAAACAGCTGTGCACACCTGTAGGTAAAATAAACTCTGGTGAGTTTTCAGTTGTAAATGTGCTGGTCTGATTTGAGCAGTCATTGGAAACAATCCCTGTGCACTGTATTTCTCACAATGGACAGCCAAGAGTACCAGCAACCTCCTGTGAACACTGGGATTGTGTCTTGGGACTTTTCTAAGCTGGAATCTTTGTATTAGCGGTGGTCTGCTATTTGGCTTGGTTTCAGGCTGGACTGAAATTGCTGCCTTGTTTGGATTTCACATGTGTTCTTATTAAAATAGTCGTATTAAAACAATGTTTTTGTTTTAGGGATTCATCAAAGATGTTCATGAGGACTCTCTCACAGTTGTATTTGAAAACAAGTAAGTATTTTATTAAAAAAAAAATAATTTGAGCATTAGGTTGTTATTGTGTTTTTGTGCTTTTGGTGTTGGTTTTTGTTTGTCTTTACATTAAGAGAAAGTAGATTTCATTAGAAAGGTGTAGTTCTAGAAGTACAGACTCATTATTCTGTTCACAGTCTCCAGTGAATCTTGAATCAAACCTTCTTGAATCTCTATCAGAATTGAGCTCATCAGTTAGTCCTTTATGGTTTTTTTGGTACCTTTAGTGATGCCCATAGATGTGACAACCAGATTTAATGAAAATAATAATCAGTGGCAGAGGCCTGATATTCTTATACCAAAGAGGGTGGTATAAGGTGGAAAATACCATAGTACTTCTATTAAATGAACAATTCCCTGTATGTCTAATCTGAAGAATGCTGATCAGTGTTCTCAACCAGAGAGAAATAGACAGAAGTGTCCTGATGGTGATTGATTTTTCCTTTTAACTATTAAGAAAATAAATATATGTACATATCCAGTCTAAAGACCCAATTTTATATTTTTAGTGGAAAAGAGTGCAAATCTGTAAGCAAATCTGTAGAAAGAATTATCCATGGGGCCCTCTTCATTTAATATATGAACACAGCAGTGTTACTAAGGACTTGTAGGGGCATGTCAGAGATAATCCATGGGATGGTAAAGTACAGATGAATACCTGTTGTTCAGCATTCAGACTGATAACACTGTGGATTACCTTGAAGATTCCAAGGCTGATTTAAGATATTCTGGGAGCTACATGTTCTTTCCTATTTCCCTTCCAGTTGCTAGGTGGAAATCCTAAAAATGTGTCAGCTTTTGGTGTGAAAATTGTTACTAAGCTCTGCCAGCACCAACCTGTAGGTTAGTGTTAGAACCTTTCTTCAAGAAAGATTGCTGGATAATAAAGGTAATGGGGAGTGTACAAGTTTATATCTATAAAGAGTATTTTATAATCCTCAATATTTAATCCTAGGGTGTGTGTAAGTGTATACATTAATGTTCATATACATATATATGCATGTATAAAAATGAATCTTTCTAACCTGTGCTTTCTAGCCCTTCTTTTATGAAAAATAAAAGAAAAGGTGGCAACCATAATTTGTGCTAAGACTTACTGAGGTGATTATGGAAGTTGTTACTGGCTCCTAGGTTTTCATACACTCACCCCAAAACCCAACAAAAAGAAAAAACAAATAGGGTCTTTCATCCTGTCCATGGTCTGAGGAGATTTGACAGATCTTCAGTTTCAGATTCAATATCCATATTACTTTTCTTTAAGGTAGGAGGCTCTTTACCTCCAGAGCATGTACTTTCAGATCAGAAACCAAGTAGGCTAGAGGAAGTGCCTATGGTTCACAGCAGGGGTCTAATTCTTGGCAAAAACATTTCTAGTGTTTAGTATCTGTGTGTTTTACAGCAAGTCTGGCAGCAGCAGCCATGTTTCAAAAAGGATGGGCTACAACATATGTCGAGTGTTTTGTTGACCAAAAATAGGTCTTGTTGGGAAGTGTGTCTATACAATTCTAGTCAAAATATTCTGTGATGTAAGTCTGATAAATTACTACCCTTTTTACTGAGTTAAATTCACAAGGACTTTAGTAGAATCAAAGTTGGCAAGTGTGTCCTGTCCTGAATGCGTGATGCTGTTGTGGTAGCGCTCAGCACGAATGAAGTAAACACACCTACTCCATAAGGGCAGTCTGAGTTGTCAGTTGGTGTTTTCTGCTGGTGTAACCAGCCTTTATCTACAGCTGTTGTAAAGTTCTCAAAGCTGGTGTACTAGCACAGACTGATGAACATGGTTTTGTGGCCATAGCAGTAACTAGTCTCTGGGTCACAGAATCACAGAATGTCAGGGATTGGAAGGGACCTCGAAAGATCATCCAGTCCAATCCCCCTGCCAGAGCAGGAACCTAAATGAGATCACACAGGAAGGCGTCCAGGCGGGTCTTGAATGTCTCCAGAGAAGGAGACTCCACACCCTCCCTGGGCAGCCTGTCCCAGGGCTCTGTCACCCTCACCGTAAAGAAGTTCCTTCTGAAATTTAAGCGGAACCTCCTGTGTTCCAGCTCACACCCATTGCCCCTTGTCCTACCACTGGGCATCACTGAGAAGAGCCTGGCTCCATCCTCATGACATTCGCCCTTAACGTATTTATAAACATTAATGAGGTCTCCCCTCAGTCTCCTCTCCTCCAAGCTAAAGAGCCCCAGCTCCCTCAGCCTTTCCTCATAAGGGAGATGCTCCACTCCCTTCATCATCTTGGTGGCTTTAGGGTTGATATCCTTGGCTCTTTTAAGAGACATTTTTTGGAGATAAGGAAGCAGAGAACAAACACACAAGCTTCAGGAACTGGAAACTTTTACTACTGTATAAAACAGAATTGGATCTTGAGGTGCAATTCATAGAGGCTCATTGGAGTTCCAAGCAGCCATACTGAAAGACTTCTCTGTAAGACACAAGCACTTACCCATTTTTGTAATTTGTGCCAGATAATTGAGATAATCCTTCTGACTATCAGGAGAACAGAGTATGTGAATTGCCCCAGCAGTCTTTGTAAAATGTACCTAAAATATACACTTCTTCAAGTAAAATGCTTTTTAGGGCCAGCTACGGTAAAATAAATAACCTTTCTGTACAGGAAGGTAGAATTTTAATTTTATATGCCTAGTAATAATTGGTATTGATAAGCAGATATAAAGGTATGTTTTGAACTGAATCTGTTTCCCAGACACTTACTGGGGAGTGTTAACAAGTTTGTCAGTAGAAATGTAAAGTTTTGTTAACAACCAAGAGTCAGATTTTCATGGAAAACTTAAAGCATCGATGGTGAGCAGTTAGAATGTTAAGTTTGAGGTGAAGGAATGGATGAACCCCATGGTGGACTGCAAAGATAAAACTTTTATGCAGATATAAGCTTAAGACTTGAATGGTAGAAATGCAAGTACATCATTTAATGATCTTTTCACTGGGGTTTTGTGAAAGCCATTTAGTGAACCCAGTCAAGTTACATTTTTCAGTTAATTTAAAAAATGTTTTGTCATTAAATGTCTTCCCAGATACTATTTTTTTTCCCCGACAGGATTATTTTGTTCTTTACTTATAACGCTTACTTTCTAGCAATGAAGAAACAGACTTGATCATATGAAAAGAGTGAGTTTTAAATAAGCTCAAGAGTTCTAAAAATAAAACTAAGAAAACAAGAGGAAAATTATAGAAATAATGTGTAATAACTCTTCAACTTTCAGTTGGCAGCCAGAGCGCCAGGTACCCTTTAATGAAGTCAGATTACCACCTCCCCCTGATATCAAGAAAGAAATTGGTGAAGGAGATGAAGTGGAGGTGAGTTTACCCTAATGAACTCTCCTGATACATAACTGACTGTCCATTCAAGGTGGTGGTGATGATGTTTGCAAGTACATTACAAAAGTGAAGATTTAAAATTGAACATGTCTCTAGTAATGGATTTGTTAGGCTTTCAGTGAAACTGTGACATTTTGGGTTTTTTCACAGAATTACCAATGAAACTTCCTCAAAATCTAAAACTTAAAATAGCTGAGAATGTTTCAGAATTAAAACCAAAATTAGGTAATTTCCACTTTTGATCTGTAATGAAGTTGTTGGAAATGTTTTGATGTGAAGATGTAATAAAGCTTTTCCAATAACAAGTTTTGACCCAAATTAAATTAATTGGTACAATCTGGTAGGAAATTGTATGAATTATACTGTTTTATAGAGAAACAGTGTTAATTAGAAATGATGTATTAAACTGCAAAATTAAAAGGAGCGTGTTCTGTTCCCAGCTCACTGTAGTATCTTTAGTAATAAAGTAATTAGTTTAACTTCTGCTTTTTACTTTACTTGTCCTTAAAATCAAAGTAATGAGTTTCTTTAGGATACCTTTATAGTTTTGGGCCAATAACCTAAGAAATAATGTAGTGTATGTAGGTGCTGGCTTTTTCTGTTATTTTATTTGAAGTACATGCTGTTTGTTGTCAGGTTAAATGTAAAGGATTATTTTCTACCTCCTTGCTATTGCAAAATTTCTTGTTTAGTCTGTATGCAAATAACTTTGATGTGTCAGAAGTGTATAAGGAGAAAATGAAACTTACAGAAGATGAGGAAAATGAAAGTTTCAGCAGTTCTGTATCTGATTTCTGTTTTCACTTGGTAGTGTTTGTTAAATATGGAACATGTAGTCCTGTGATGACTTGGTTAATTTCAGTAGTCCTAGCTATATGAAGCAAGCCAAGGACAAAACAAAAATCTTAATTGTGGAGTTACTTCTATGTGTGAACTTTCAACATGAAGACAGTGTTTTAATTTAGTGAGGAATTGCCCCTGAATAGGTGCTGAGCCAAGGTTTTACCTTCTTTGAATTGTCAGTAATGTACACAAAGGAAATCTGTTCACAATCCTTGTAATGCAAAATAAGAAAACTTCGTGCAAGAAGCACCTGTTTGGATAATTTATACAAAAAATTACTTTTGTGTAGAATACTGTTCCATTTTAATGAAAATTTGAAAAGTTGGGATGTTCTTTCTTCATTACACGTGCAGGCAAGTGAATTATATCTGTATATGCTTTCAGTGTTTCTTACTGCTTTCATTTTCAGGTTTATTCTAGGGCAAATGACCAAGAACCTTGTGGCTGGTGGCTGGCAAAAGTTCGAATGATGAAAGGAGAGGTAAATTATTTTTAAACCTGCCTATTTCATGCTGTTATGTTAAATACAGTAAATGTGAAAGGTCTTTGTGATGGAAAAACTGTTAATGAAGTACTACACATACAAAAAGATGACCAAACAGCATTGTAAGTTGAGGTCGCTTTGGAATGACCCATGCTGCATTACATAGCTGAGGGTTAGGTTTTTATAGCTGAGCAGGTCGCTTCCATTGACTGTTTGCATGCATAAGAACAGGACTTCTAACAAACCTACTTTGTGAATTGAACTTGGTGCTAAAAATTAAGTAAAACAGTATGTGTGGTCTGTGGTTAAAACCTGTTTAAGCTCCATAAATTAGGCATGCTGTAGCTATTGGTGTTTGTTTGCTGTGGGTTCTTTTTTGTGTATGTATTTCTGAGCGTAGGGGAAAGACACTGGATGGTTTGCTTTCACATATGTCAGGTTTGTATTTTAGTGTTGACTGTTAGAGTTGCAGCTGTAAAGTAACTTGTAGATTTAGACACTAAAGTGTATAGAGCTGTGGCAGTGTCTGATATAGTCTCATTAAAGCTTTATTTTGTGAAACAACAGCAAGAGAATTTGACTTCATAGTAGGAAAGCTGTATCCCTGACACAAAGCCAGGCTTTGGGGATACTGTGCACACAAGCTGCTTTGTTCTTACCTGTGTTGGGTGGAAGTGTAGGAGTAGATTATTGGTAGCTCTTAAACCTTCTTAGTTCTCTTGCCTTCCTAAATTTGGGATAGTGTGTATCAAAGAGATTGAATTTTTGTTTTCCTTTTGATCTCACGTGATTCACATGTAGTTTGCCCTTTGAATTGGTGGATTTGCCTTTTTTCTTTTTTCAAACAGTTGAAGGGCAAAATTTCTGTGAAGAGTGAATTATGTTTACTTCTCTGTCAGATATTTTTTAGAATTAGAGTTCCTGTAAACATTTTGAATTTTGGAATTTGAGCTGGACTAATGTAGGTGTTTGAAGAGGGATGGCCATGAAAACAATCAAAGATGCTTTTGGGTGGGAATGAAATTATGCTGATATGGTGCCCTGAATTCACTGAGATATAAGATGGGTACAGAAATATGTCCAGGCTCATTTGTGTAGACTTGTAGCATTACATCAACTCAGATTTCTGTTTTAGTCTATATATTTGTATTTTTTACTTCGTTGGTGATGCTGGTAATGTTACTATGTCTTTGTTGTTCCTTACTGAAGTTACCATTTAATAAAACAAAAAAAATTCTTCCATAGTTTTATGTCATTGAATATGCTGCTTGTGATGCCACCTACAATGAAATTGTCACTTATGAACGACTCCGACCTGTGAATCAAAATAAAACTGTCAAAAAGAACACCTTCTTCAAGTGCACAGTGGATGTTCCTGAAGATCTGAGAGATGCGTGAGTAGTTCTGCATGCTTTAATAGGGCATTTACTGTATCTGAAGGGGTAAAAACCCTCCTTGGCTTATGTTTTAGAGGCCAGTTTGTAGGTCCATGAAGAGCCTTAACAGTAGCTATTGCTCCAGTAGCTGGTTTAGAAACTACTGACTGGGATCCCTGCTGAGCTTTTGGGGTAGGGACAAAAAGCAAATTCTAAGATAGGAGCTTCAGGTCTTGCTTTAGGCTCAGCACCAGCAGGCCTCTGGCACTGAGACTTGCCAGATAACCATGGTGGCATACAGTCCACAGAGAAATGAGCTCTGGAACTGTGTTAAGAAGAATGACAATTCTCCAGTTTCTGAATAGTCTTTGCCAGAAACTACTGAAAAAATCTTGGTTCTGATCATGATACTACGTGTTCTGTTTTGATGCAGGTTGTTGACGTAACAATCATTTTGCCTCCTTAGGTGTGCTAATGAAAATGCACATAAAGATTTCAAGAAAGCTGTGGGAGCATGTAGAATTTTTTATCATGCTGAAACTGGTCAACTAATAATACTGGTAAGTAATTATTTCTATGTAAATGCTGCATGAATTTTTGGTATATTACTTACGGTAATTATATAGCCAGCTGTGTATTTGTAGAGAAAATGGTTTCATTTGTCAAGATGTGTAAATTTTGAGAGATTTAATGTGGTTAGATGTGTTTAAATTTTATCTTTGAGGGGGGATAGGCCTTTTGGAGGAACTACCAGCACTGCACTGCATACAGCCTAAATTTAGGAGCAGCTTTCAGTCTCGTTTTCATTATTTTTATCATCCAGAACTGAGTGCTGTTTCACTGATTTGTGCAGATGGCTCAAAGACAGCTCCAGCTTACTCTGCTCTGGAGCAGCCAGTTTCCCCCTCTACTGCATTACAGGTTGCACTTTGACCTACAGCTGGGTTTCCACTTGAAGAACTGCACCAGTTCAGCATAGCCATTAAGGAATTGGTCACACAGATTCTTCTGTGACAGTTTTCTCTTACTATATAGTATTTTCCCAACTTTAGTTTCTCTTCACAGTTCTGTTTACTTAGTATTATCCATTTGAACCTCACTCTCCAGAGCTGTGTTTTGCTATTTGCTTAGCTCTGCCATTCAGACAGTGAGTGACAAATATGTCCATGGTAAAAT